CTGGTTTACAGGTAAAAAATATAATTCACTAAATATTAATATTATTAACTAAATGTTAATAATATTAACTAAATATTAATCATGTTAATAAAACTTTCTAATTCAATTCTGATTTTAGACTACTACCGAAGGAAAACCAAAGATTGTCGATATCGTTGATTGTAGCGGTTCTGGTAAAACAAAAAAAAATTTTTTTTGGTATTTAAATGTTTATAATTATATGCATATGTATATTTTTCTGATTTTACGTTTTATTAAATAATAAGGTGATGTAACGACAAAAGTTGTTGTAAAACCTGTTATCAAAGAAGATGGAAATAAGACTTTACATACAATTCAAGGCTTAACTGGCCGTACTCTTATAATTGATCCAAGTTGGAATAATCCTTCAGGAGAATTTCGTGTTGGTATTAAGAGATTATATGAGCTATTTCCAAAAAATCTGGCTAAAAGGCTTCAACAGGTTATTAAATTCAGGTGTAATTTCTTTATTTTATTTAATTTTATTTTTTAAAACTTACGGTATATGCATATATGTGTTTATTTTTTTTAGGAACATAAAGAAAACTTTGTAAATGAACATCATCGGCTTCAAGCAGAAGCACAACAAAATCTCACTACTTGGGAAGAATCTCATTCTGCTTCTTCGAATCTATCAGAATGTGATCTTGCTACCAAAGCTGATCTTGAAGCAAGGCTAGAAGTGTTAAAAGATATGTTAAAAAGTTATGATGATCCCGGTATACTTTTAGATGTGGTTGTATTCTTTGATGGAAGTGATTGGAGAGTTATTATTGATGTTGATGAAAGTTGTGACCTGAGAGGTGGTTTTCAAGCATATTAAATTTTTGGTTGTTTTTTATATGCCATTATATTACCAACATTATTTTACCTTAACTATTGGGATTATAGGCGCTCCACTTTTGACTGATTACAGAAAAGAACGACAATATCACACTTTCAGCAAGGAAGATAAGATGAATTTTTCTGTTAACATTTATGATGAAGGCAATACTGTCAGGTGAATATTATGTTGTTTATGTGTCTTTATTACATTTATACATTAATATCTTATATTGCTAACTTGTTTGCTATTATAAAGTATCGTTACAACGTCTCATTCTCACGGAACCCATGTTGCTGCTATTTCTGCAGCATATCATCCAGATGAGCCTATTCTTAACGGGGTATTCAATGTTT